AAAAATTGACACAACCGAATAATGTCAGAAAATAAATTGAAAATATTAATTTTATAATCATGACAATAATTTTTATTAGAACAGTGGATAGTTGGCTCTCACGACACGAGGATTTAAAAAAAAAAAAAAATGACACACGAATCACTGAAATTACATTTGACAACCAGCATATATTTCAATGTATCCACTTTTAGTTGGGATGGATCTGGTATCCACATGTTGTTTTAATTAAGAGAAAAGTGGGAGCATTTGTCCCTGTCTATGGAAAATTACGCAATTCGTCGGAAAACGCCACAGGCCGGAACATTTCAGTGGTGCGAAAATAAGGCCTGTCCCGGGTCAACCAGGAAACTTGACGTCTGGTCACCATATAACTAACCATCAAAGTCTTTAATATTTTATTTATTTTTTAAATAGAAAAGGGTGCCCGTAAAAATATATGGGTGTTTAAAAATGTGGCACACTAATAAAAAGTTGGGAACCCTTTGGTATCCAAAATAAGATGGAACTAAGAAAGACTTATAATATAAACATTGAGAAACTGACTCAAAACTATTATCTTGTTGTTGTTTTTTTAAATTCTGTTTTTACTGTTGTTTGTTCGCTGATGAAGAAGACTTCTTGCCGAAACGTTCGTTGTTTTGTTGCGTTTTTTTTTTTTTTTTTTTTTTTTTTTTTGTTTTTTCCTTTTTTTTTTTTTTTTTTTTTTTTTTTTTTTTTTTTTCAAGTTTTCCCATACTTTGTTTCAATCATTACTCATTTTCATTTATGTAGCCTACAGTTTTTGAGAAATTATCTGTTATGAGTATGAGCATCCAAATAAATGATGTGTTTGCGTTGTTGTCAATGCGATTGCCTTGCTTCAACTATGCATTGGCGAAATGTAGGCCCACACACAAACACCCATTGTTCGTTTCCAAACCCAAAGTTTCATCGCAAGTCTTCTGAAAAACACTATGACAACAAATTTGATTCGTCTTAAAAGTGATGTTAAAAATTACACTGGCTGGCGTAGCAAAGGAGTAGCGTCACATCCTGTTCGTGGCGTCATTCGGTGCCAGCGTGGCACGTTATGTGTTATTCGCAGGGAAAACAAAAATTTCATCCCACAGAAACCCGTTCTCATTTGTAAGTTGACAAGATTTACGCTAAGTCAATGTTGTTGTTTTTTGTTTATAAATTAACCCATGCCCGGGGCTAGTTAATTAAGGCCATATGCCAGGGACAACGCTATTTCAACGAGCGCTGTCCCCAGGTTTCAGTGTTTAAATAAGTTGTCCCTATCTCTCGGGAATACAGAGACGTTATACAAGACAAAAAATCTGACATTGCTGCCTTGCATGAGTAAATTAATCACAGTCTGCATGTTGTTAACATTAAATAACGTCCTACAACACTTAAACCCATTAGTCCATTCATTGATGAAATTGCAAAACGTCTTGGCCTGTTTATACGAATCTAAGATATCCATCTTCTCTTGTGCATAATTAACAATGGTTAGGGGCCGTCCATATTAGACGTCGTGCTCCAGAGGGCGGAGGGGGTGTAAGAAAGTGTGACAGTTTGTGACTGGAGGGAGAGGGGGGGGCAGGCTATGTGTGACGTCACACATTTATTATTTTTTAATTTTATTTCTATTTATTTTTATATTTTTTTAAAGTAGAATTTAATAGCTTTAAAAATAATTTTCAAAAATTTTGTTAAACATTTGAATTAGTTTTATGTCAAAATAGCATAAATGCGTAGGCGTATCTCCTAAATGTGTTGTTCACAATTCCTCTCGCTAGGAGCGCTTAGTATGCTGTTGCGAAGCCTTGTTTTATGTATAGCCTTGCCGAGATCAACAGGAGTTTTCAAAGTACAACTATATGATCTTTATTGTCCATCTTTACAGACCAGCTTACTTTATCGAATTTGCAAAGTATGTCACTTATACTTTGCCTCACAAATAATGTCGACGAAACATGCAGGAGAACAAAGAGCTCGGGCTCGGGAGAATGTGCCAACCCAAACTGTCCCAGAATCAACTCGGATAAAACGCATCAGTCCTTTGAGAATCGCTTCCAGAAGGCAAAGAGAACCCATGGCAGTTATTGCCAGAAGAGAAAATACACATTTAGAGGATGTTGAGTGGCTACATAAGGATGAAGTTGATCTGTCTGCAATTATCCTTCCACGAAACGATGATGGTGAAAGATTGATGCCAGTCGTAACTATGGATGAACACTCACTTCACCATGGATGGATGATGTCAAGTGAATATTTTTGAATTAAACATAATTCACAGGCCCATAATAAACAGATTCAATATATCACAAGAGTTTGTCACATAATTTGTCAATCTAGTCTTTGTTTAGTCAAATTGTTTTGTTTCCTTTTTATTATTTAATCACTGGGTGAGGTCAAGTTTCGCTAATTTACTTCTTATCGTGTGTAAAAAGATTGCATAATCGGAAATTATCTAAAACTTGACCTCACCTTTTGTAAATGAAAAAGCAGCAGATAAATGACATGTATTATATAATTGTCTAGTCTAATTTTTGTTTTCAAATTCAATCTAGATTGAGTTACTGCTTCAATGAATAACTGTGACAACTGTTGACAACTAACTATTCTACTACTAAAGTAATTTAATAATGTGATAGTTGTTTTAAGTGGAAATGTTATATTTTAATACAGTTTAATAGTGAAGTGTGTTTTAGATAATGTGTTAATTTTTTTTAAATTTTGTTCGAAAGTGTGACGTACTTGGGGGGGGGGGCTCCGAGATTTGAGACAGTTTGTGACAGTGGGGATGGGGGGGGGGGAAAAAATTGTCAAAAATAGCGTGAACGAAAGTGTGACGTACTTGGGGGGGGGGGCTCCGAGATTTGAGACAGTTTGTGACAGTGGGGATGGGGGGGGGGGTAAAAATTGTCAAAAATAGCGTGACGTACTTTCTGGACGGCCCCTAACAAAACCTTCAAGCAATGTTACTTTCGGGTATCTTTCCCGGCATCCCCCCCCCCACACTCACACCTAAAAATTTTCCCCGCGAAAGTCACTTGTCCCCAACCCACCACCCATCCGAGAGGGAAAAATTTTTGTACATCAATAAAGCGATGATATAATTATTTTTTGAAAACTCTAAATTGTCATTTGTATAACTCTTTCAATAAAAGTGTAACCAATGAAACATCGCTTTGCTCAATATATTTGGAGATCTAAATATTTATGGCAAATCTAGATACAGCAGTCCAGTCTAAATACCATACTGCTCCAAAGATAGGCCGCACCACTACTTCCCGTCGTTCAAATATATGTTGCAATATTTATTTATTGTTTACAACAAGTGTTTATTTCATGTATCTCTTCGTGTGGGGGCAAAGAAGGGCACCGTGCCCAGTACGGAGCAAGTCAACTGCTCCCCCCCCCCAACATACCTGGAGCAGGCCACAGGGGCGCCATTTCGGGTTTTTTTCAGGGGGGTGGCAAAGCCTAAACTTGGTCGGCTTATTAAGTTGTTAATGACTGGAGGCGCATCAGTATAGCGCAATAAAACCTGCAAATTCAGGGGGGGGGGCGTAAAGGCCCCAACCTGCTCTACCCAAATGACGACCCTGGCAGGCATGGGCGCCCGCAGAAAACTTTCTTGGAGGGG